CTTGGTGAGAGGGCAGCAGGACAGGCCCTATGAGGAGAGACTGAAGGACCTGAACCTATTCAGCTTCAGCAAGAGGAGGCTGAGGGGGGACTTGGGGGCTGCCTACAAGCTCATCAGGGGAGATCAACAGCAAATAGGCAGAGCTCTTTTCTCCCCAGCACCACCTGGGGTGACAAGGAACAATGGTCACAAGCTGATTGAGAATAGGTTTAGGTTAGAGATCAGAAGGCAATATTTTACAGTTAGGGTGGCCAAAATCTGGAACCAACTTCCCAGGGAAGTGGTCCTCGCCCCTACCTTGGGCAAATTCAAGAGGAGGTTGGATGTTCACCTGTCTAGGGTGTTGTGAACCCAGCATTCATTCCTGCCTGTGGCAGGGAGTCAGGCTAGATGATCTGTTCAGGTCCCTCCTGACCCTAGCTACTATGAAACTATGAAAGGTATGGGCATCTATTTGCTGCCATAAAAATTTATGGCAGCCCAAAGACGACAAAAGGCAACACCTGTTTCTACCCCACTGTCTCAAAAAGGTGCCCTGCATCTGACCCTATCCTGTTGCCAGCATTACTTCTATGCTATTGAGAAGACACACCAGCCAAAGCACCACAGAGAGGGCTGCAGCCCCCTACTCTGTGTAGCCATTCCATATTCTGCTCGGGGCGGGGGGGGGAGGGAAGTAAAAGGGAATTAATATATTAAACTCCTGAATTTTCTTTCCAAACCTTATTCAGATAGCGTTCGTTCATGGCTTTTGCTATTTGTTTTATTTCGCAGCGCTGATCTGCATCCCTTTTCCTCTCATTTAATTTCTCTGCCAACGTTTCCAGCTCGGTAAGAGCCATCTGTAGAGGCAGCCTGTCAGGATGTCCTTTAGTAGTATTCTTTAACATATCCTGGTGGGGAGGGGAGACGGAAAAAAAAAGTGCAGATTTGATATCTTACATAGGTTACAGATGATGTATATGTCTCTAAACTTTTGTGTAAAGTTATTGCATTATTCCTTCGATGCATAAGACAAAGGCTATTAAGCATAAGACCAATGCTATTAATGACTTCTTACAAAATACAAACCCATTAGAATCTTCAGCCGATTGAATCTTTTTTTTGGTAGAATGTTCTTCAAAAAAAAATTGGCCTATGAAACAGAACAGCTTATTTGTAGGAAGTGGATAAGGAAGAGCTTTTAAAATACAGAAAAATATCAGACACAAACAGTATTAAAATACTTAGAAATCAGCATACATTCCAATAACTATGACATCTGCTGGGAGGGTAACAGCAGTTCACAGGAAGTCCATCAAGTTTTTGGGTTGTATAAGGAATAACTTTTTGGTATGGTGATGGGGAGGCCAACTCCTCAGCTCTTCTCGATTTGCTGCTCGCTAACAGGGAGGAATTGATTGAGAATGTGCGGGTTGAAGGTATTTTGTATAACAGAGACCATAAAATGTCAGAGCTGAAGGTCCTAAGGAAAGGAAGGAGAGCAGCAGAATAAAGAAAATGGACTTCAGAAAAGTAGACGTTAACAAACTCAGGGAACTGATAGGCAGGATCCCCTGAGAAGCAAATTGTGGGGGAGGGGGAAGAAGCAGGGAGAAGAGTCCAGCGTAGCTGGCTCTACTTTAAGACAGCCTTATTAGGGTGCAGGAGAAAATCATCCTGATATGAAAAAAGAATAGGAAATATAGCAGGAAGCTGGACTGGATAAACACTGAACTCTTCAATGAGTTGGAACCCCAGGAAACATCATATAAATGGTAGAAACCTGACCATATTATTAGGGAAAAGTATAAGAGTATTGCATGCATGGGCATACAGGGAGAAAATCAGGAAGACTAAGGCATGATTTCAGATGCAACGGGCAATGGATGTGAAAGGCAATTAAAAGGGATTTTACAAGTTTGTCAGGAGTAAGAGAAAAACTGATGATATTGTTAGGTGTTATCTTTCCCACATGTGAAATGGGAGAATCAAAATGTTAAGGCAGGAAAAGACCAGCTAAGTGCCCTCTGAGTGTCTCAAAGTTATGTCTCTTGACTCTCTTCAGAGAATGATTATCTTCAGCCGAGGTTAAGCAACTCATGCTGAAGTAACATTGGTCTGCTCCATGGAGCCAGTACCAGCAATTTGCAGTTCCACATAATCCCAGGATACACCACACTCAGCCTCTCCTTCCCACACAGACAATCATTCATCCAGACATATACTGCCCTAAACTGGGCAGCCACAGATGACTGGGGAGCCATGGAGAATTGGTGGGCTAGGGGCGGGGCAGGTAAGCAGGCAGTTGCTGATCTGCAGGGGGTGAGCACCACTGGAAGCCACTGGAAAGCTGGAGAGCCACGGGACAGGTCTGGCATCTCTTACCAATGCCCCTGCTTACCAACCCGCTAGCAACAAGTCAGAATTCTACATCAGAAAGAGAAGTAGCTTTTAACATGTGACTGCTCACCGCACATGCTAATTTTAATACAACCTAACATTTCATAGAGTTAGCATATGCAAACTGTAATATGTAATAGGAGTTTTTCCTGGAATTGAGCCTGAAATGGCCCTCCAGGAATTTGTATCCATTGCTCCTGGTCTTCCTCAGGGGTGCCCTAATGAACAGCTGTTCACCAAGTTCTTGATGTACTCCCCTGATGAAGCAGTAAGCCGCTACCAAGTCCCCTCTCAGCCTTCTCTTTAGTAGGCTTAAGTGGCCCAAGTCCCTCAGCCTCTCCTCATATGGCTTGTCTTGCAAGTCCTTGATCATACGGGTGGCTCTTCTCTGGACCCTCTCAAGTTTTTTCACGTCCTTGTTGAAGTGCAACGCCCAGAACTGGACGTAGTACCTCCAGCTGCGGTCTCACCAGTGCAAAGTACAGTGGGAGTATCACTTCCTTAGTTTTGCATGAGATGCAATGGTTAATGCATGACAGTGCATTGTTTACCCTGCTGGCCACAGCATCACACTGCCGGCTCATGTTCACGCAATGGTTGATCAGTACCCCTAGGTCCCTTTCAGCCGTTTCATAGTAGTTAGGGGTCAGAAGGGACCTAAACAGATCATCTAGTCTGACCTCCCGCCACTGGCCAGAGCACACGCTGGGATCACACGACCCCAGACAGGTGTTCATCCAACCTCTAATTGAATTTGACCCTTTGTATGAGTCAAATTGTCACCACCAAGCCTGTAGGTATGTTGGGGATTGTTTGCGCCCAGATAGAGCGCATTACACTTCTGAGTGTTGAACTTCATCTGGTTCCAGTCCACCCAACTCTCCAGCCTGTCCAGTCTGCCTGTATCTGCAACCTATCTTCTAGCATGGCCACGCTGCCCTATTACTTGGTGTCGTCTGCAAACTTGGCCAACAAGCTTCTCACCCCCACATCCAAATCATTGATAAAGATGTTGAAAAGCACCACTCCAAACACAGACCCCTAAGGGACACCACTGGCCACTTCATGAGAACTCTTTGGGTCCTACCATGCAGCCAGATTTCTACCCACTGAACTGTTGAGCAGTTGAGCTCATGGGACAGAACTACCGCATGTATAGACTAAAGAATTACTGGCTAGGGTACAGTACTAAAGAAAAGACCTAGGGGTCATAATGGACCATAAGCTAAATATGGACCAACAGAATTTTGCTCTTGTTGCAAAAAAAAAAAAGAGACCAACAACATACTTGGCTGTATTATTAGGAATGTTAATTGTAAATCAAGAGAAGCAATTCTCCTGCTCTATTTAGCACTGGTGGGGCTTCACTGGAGTACTGTGATCAGTTTTGGGCACTGCACTCCAAAAAAGATGTAGAAAAATGTCCAGTGGAAAGATAGATAACAATTATTAGAGGCCTAGGAAACATGGCTTATGAGGATAGGCTGAAAGAATAAGGATTATTTAGTCTGGAGAAGACTGAGGAGGAATTTGATAACAGCACTCCAAAACTGAGGCACAGGTATAAGGAAGATAAATATAAACTATTCTCTGTGGCAACCATGGACAGAGTAAGAGGAATGATCTCACCTGTAGCAGGGAAAATTTAGGTTAGGTATTGGGAAGAACTTATTTATTATGAGAGTGGTTAAGCATTGGAATAGGTTACCCAGAAAGGTTGCAGAATCTTCATCCTTGGATATTTTTAAGAGAAGTTAGACAGACATGTGACTAAGCTGGTTTATTCCTTAAGAAGCAGGGTGGATTAAATGACTTCCTTAGGTCCCTTCTAACTTCATTATCTTATGCTTTTAATATGATTTTAACATATATTCGTACATGCAATTGTAATAAAACAGTCTCAAATATAATATAATATATTTTTTAGACAATTCTAAAACAATTTATAGTATACCACCAGTTGTCTTAACAGCAACATTTTTTCTAACTTGTAACTGTTGATATCATTAACAGACTGTTTTATTTTTAAGCTTTATTTAATACAGCTCTGTATCTCTGCTCAGTATAATGTTATATTTAGTAACTGTTGTTATTGTATACTATTTTTTTCAATGTTTTTTAATACAATACTGTACCTCTCCTCTTGAATTTGATATTACAACTTATATTGGTTTCACTTATATGAACAAACTGAATGATCTAAAGGGCTTTTCAGTGGGTGGTCTCCAAAAGGGCCAGGAAAATGAAGGATTTAGTAGTGTACCTTTATTTCATTATTATAAACTCACTAACATGTTGACAGTTCTTCTCACTGTCACTGAAAAGGAAGAAACAGTATCTGTTCCTAAAGACTGCCATAATTTCCAACTCTTTCCAAATTTAAGGTGTACATTTGAACTATTTGGATTGAATATTTTCCTTTGACAATGATTTCTACACATCTCTATGTCTGTATGATTATTTCTTACCCCACTGTTCCCTGTCTATTCCACTCCATCAACAATGCTAGCCCTATCTGCTCACTTGTGAATTCTCTCCCATTACCATCTCTGCTTTTTTTATTCTACCCTTTGTGTGGTGTCATCCTCAAACTAGTTTCCTTCTGTGACAGCTACAACAAAATGTGAAATTGATAACAACTAGTGTGACAGAATTGGAGCTGCTCTGTAAATGTGGAATGTTGGCTTCATTATTGAGATGCTCAGTAGATGAATATATTGAATCAGTTTAATAAGGAACTGGAAAGAAAACTAAGCTAGAAGAAAACAGAACGATTCAAGAAAGCCGATTTGCTGCAATCACTCAAGAGTTATTAAGAGACAATGCCAGGACAGGAAATGGTCTGTAAACCACAAAATCAAAAGAATTACAATAGTTTAAAAAGGAATACTCTCTCAAAAGTAGGAAGTTATTTAAAGGATATATGCAAAGACAGAGAAATCTGGGTTATCTAAAGAAGGCTAGCCTGCTTGGCCAGCAATCAACTGATAATAAGATGGACATGAGAATGAACGATTGTTTTAAAATCCATTTGTAATAAATGTTTGCTCCTAGTGCAAAAAAATCCTCCTTTTGGTTAAGGATGTGGGTTACAATCCATACATGACTGATTACAATTGCTTGACAGGAAGAACTGCAGGTGCTAAACCCAAGTGGCAAGCATGAAGCATCATCAATGTGTGGGAATTACAAAATTTTACCTGACAGGTAAAGAACTAGGCTTAGCACCTGAAGGGATGCACTTATGGTGAGACTGCACCTTGCACTTAGCTCTTAAGAATGCTTAAAATTTGAAAGATTGCACATTCAGGCTCATTAACTAGTGCTAAGCACCTTTCAGACACCTTAAACGTATGTCACTTCACTGGAGGATTATCACCGATTGGTGTTACTTAGCTAGTTTTAAGTGAATTTCTGAGCATTCCACTGACATAAAACAACCAATTTGGAGTCTGTCGCAGGGCACCTCAGTGCCTGCTCCTAGGGAGTAGAAACTGCCAGGGAGAGAGCGCCCTGGCAGGACATAACGAGCCCAGATGAGGGTTGCCAGGGTAACGAGCACAGCTGCGGGTTGCCGGGGCAACTAAGGAGAGCCAGCTGCCTGTAGGAGGCAGGGCCTGGCCCTTATAAAGCCCAGGGCTGAGGCTAGGCTGGCAGTTCTCTGCCAGCAGCCAGAGGGGCAGGAGCTCCTGGAGCTAGAAGGTGAGTAATGCAGGAACTGCTCTAGCTGAGAGAAGGATGGCAGCTCTGAGAGGTTTGAGCACCCTGGTTTAGCCAGGAGGCTTTATGTTTGAGTTATAGCCAGGAGGCTTGAGTTTATGTTCGGCTTTGATATTACACCGGAGGTTTGGGTGAGGCTGTAGGGGTTGGAGGAGGCCTCATAGGTACCCCAGAGGTGTGGGGGGCCCTGATGCCAGGAGGGCGCAGTATTTGTAGGGGGAACCCCAGTGGTATGGGAACCCCGGCGCCAGTGAAGGCGCAGTGCCAGTGAAGGTGCAGCTTGCAGTGAGGAGTGCAACCAGTGGGTTGTGGGTGGGGAGCATAGACTCCGGGTTGTGTGCGGGGTATGTAGACCCCAGCCCCGGAGCGGGGCGGCTTTGAGAGGCCCCAGCGCGGGCATGACGAGCCCCAGAATGGGGCACTGCTAGGAAGCCCTAGCGTGGGCGTGGCGAGCCCCAGAAAGGGGGAGCGCACTCTAGAGGAGCCCAGCGTGGGCCCAACAAGTCCCCGAGAAAGGGGGGGGACTATTGAGAAGCCCAAGGTGGGCACAGCGAGCCCTGAAGAGGGGGAGCGCCATATTGAGAAGCCCAAGACAGGCGTAGCGAGCACGGCCGTAGGCTAGTGCGGCAACAGCCCTCGGATAGGGGCAGGGTGCTGCGGTGGACCCTGATGGAAGGGGTTAGTAGTATGACGCCCCAGGAGAAAGGTGAGGTGCTGCGGTGGTCCCCGGAGAAAGGGGATAGCAGTGCAGTGAGCCGGGATCGAAGAGGGTAGCTGTGCGGTTGGCCTAGAGGACCGGAGACCCGCTAGAGGGTCCCTGAG